CCCCCTATATCCGTCACTCCTAAGCACAGGGATTGCAGTATGTGTCGCCATGCCCAGCTGCTTATGTGGGTTCTGGGAATAGAGGCCAGGCCCTCATGTATCCACACAAGCACGTTATTGACTGAGCTGTCTCGCCAGTCCTGCCCATCAATCTATAAGGCAATGGTCCCCAAAGTTTCCGTGTCTTATTGAGGGGTGCTCCATTGCCCATAGGAAGAGTAACGTCATTTAGTCATGGGTCCTCAGTAATATGACTTCCATAGAGGATAATATGCATCATGAGTTCTTGCAGAGAGGCCTGCGTTTATGGGCCTCCAATGGCTGGATGAGGTTTCCACCTCCCCCCCTGGAAAACGGACCTATTTGGGTGGAAATACCTTCTGAAAGCTTTGCTTCGTTTTTAGATATAAAAGTGGAAAGTGGTTAGATTTCACCAGAAAAGTGTGGCTTTGAGCTACTGGACCTCTCAGACACAGTGTCTCTGTTTATAAAATAAACAGTACAAAGATGAAGGGAAGAATGAATTTTAATAGATCGCTGGCTGGACGGGCAAGCAGCGCCCTTTGGGTCTCATTACCATGTAGAAAGAGGAAACGTAAAGCCGCTATCTTAGGAAAACAGGGGCGGTTCCTAGGTGGCCGCCCTCCCAAGATGATCCCGCAGCGGCTTTGAAAAATGTTCTTTTTTCTTTTGGAGACAGGGTCTCATCTGTAGCCCAAGATGGCCTCAAACTGATGATCCTCCTGCCTCAGCCTCCTGAGTGCTGGGATGATGGCCAGTGCCCAGCTCCATGGCAATGGTTTTTTTATGTTGCAGCATAAGGACCCCCATTTCTGTAACACAGAGGACAGGCAGCTCAGATGCGTGGTACAGTTCTCTTTGGACTCCAGGCTGTTACTCTTCATGACTATGCCCTCACCCTTTAAAGAGAGAAAAGGAAGAAAAGAACCATCCTTGTCAAAACCCTGGAGGCAAGCTGCTCCCTCTCCCGCCTCTCTCCTGATTTCATGTCTTTCCCTTTTCTTGTTCTTATCCCATCTAGTGTGTTCTCAGGAGCCTTCTTGGGGTCCTGAGCCTCAGTTTCCCCATCTTTAAAGTGTGTGTGCATCTGTTTATTTTCATCTTTTCTACGACTCAAACCCCTCACAAATACAACATCCAGGAGAGAGCGCCTGCTGTGGTCACAGTTTTAGAGGGCCTGTTTCCTAGCACATCACACCCACTTCTCCCTCTGGCATCATTTCCTGCTTTCTTCCTTCCTAAAAGAGGGTCTTGCTGTACAGCCCAGGCTGACCTCAAACTCTTGATCCTCCTGCCTCAGCCTTCCGTGTGCTGGGATCACAGTTGTGCACTGCGTCCTGCCTTAGTCGCCTCATCTGTCGGTCACTGAACCCTGACTGAACCCTGACTGAAACACCCACTGATTCAGCAGCTTCTGCACTGAGTGCTGGGGTTGGAAATGCTGCTGGTACCCAGAGCCGAGCTCCATGAGGGACAACATCACAAGATGGAGATGGAAACAAGGCACTGGAGGCTGGGCACAGTGGAGACAGTTTCTGCTGGCTGGTCACCAACCATTGAAGGCTGTTGCTCTGTGATTTCCAGGGAGCCGGGGTTGCATTTTAATTAATTTGCCTTGAAATTAGCATGCCCTGTTTTTCCTTGATCCAGGCCCAAGCTTTCAGGCATATCTTGTTGCAAGGAAATACTTCCATAAACTGGGGGAACCCAGCACTGGAGACGGGAGCGGAGAGAGCGAGGGGCACACAGAGGCCCTTGACATTATGTTTTTGTGCTCACCCTTGAAGATGCTTTTGCAGGTGGCATAGTCTTGACTGGCAGCCCGTATAGGTTGCAGGGGCATCCTCTGAGTGTGAGGGTCTGTTCCTCTACTTCAAATAGGCTGGGGAGACAAGATGGTTCGATGCGTAAAGTGCTGACCTTGCAAGTATAAGGACCTGAGTTTGATCTCCAGAACTCACAATAAAGAGAGAGAGAGACAGAGAGACACACAGAGAGAGACAGAGATAGACAGACAGACAGATATAGATAGATAGATAGACAGACAGATAGATGGATAGAACTCAAGCCAGGCCTGCTGGTATACTCCTGTAATCCCAGGGCTGGGGAGGTGGAGGCAGGCAGATTTCTGGGGCTCACTGGATAGCCAGCCTACCCTAAACGGAGAATCTCAGGCTATGAAACTCTCACAGGCCTTCAACATGTACTATGTCCTAACAGGCCACTGACAGACGATGGCAATGCTGTGGGGGAAGAGAGGCAGCCCATGAGTGACTCAGATGACTTGTCCCCCACTGGGAAGACAATGTTGAGAAAGCCAGATAAGACCTAGCGATTGTGGGAAATGCGGAGAGATGGGAGCCCAAGACGCCATGTGTAATGAGGCTTGGAAGAAAGCAGGCAGGAGAACACAGAAGGGCTTCCGACTGAGGAGGACGTGACCAGGAAGGCAAGTTGCATTCAGTGTGCAGATGGGAAGCTGCCATGCAGGTAAACGGCAGGCATTGCACCAGATGCGCCTGGAGTTGACGTCTTCTTACACACACACACACACACACACACACACACACACACACACACACACACACACACACACACACACGTGACTATGGATGCTTGACAGGTGTTTCTCCGGGTAACCCAGGAGAGTGGCTCCCTTTCCTCCTGGAATCAGACATAATGTTACAAGGTCTGTCTGAGTTTCTGCCCCTGTTGCTTTGATACAATACCCTGAAAAAGCAACCTGAGGGGGAAAGAGTTTATTCAGCTTACAGTCCAAGAGTACAATTTGTCATGGTCGGGAGGCCAAGGTAGCAGGAGCTTGAGGCAGCTTGTCACATGACATCCACAGTCAGGAGGCAGAGAGCGGTGAATGCATGCTGGTGTTCAGCTGGCTTCCTCCGTATTGTACAGACCGGGGTGCTCTGCCAGGAGAATGATCCTAGCAACAATTAAAACGGATCTTCCTTGCCTCAGTTAAAAGAATCAGGATAGCCGGGCGGTGGTGGCGCACGCCTTTAATCCCAGCACTCGGGAGGCAGAGCCAGGTGGATCTCTGTGAGTTCGAGGCCAGCCTGGGCTACCAAGCGAGTCCCAGGAAAGGCGCAAAGCTACACAGAGAAACCCTGTCTCGAAAAACGAAAAAAAAAAAAAAAAAAAAAGAATCAGGATAATCCCTCACAGGGGCGTGCCTCCCAGGTGACTCCAGGTTTATTTATTTATTTTATGAATATGGATGTTTTGCCTGCATGTCTGTGTACCACATGAATGCAGTCCCCAAGGAAGTCAGAAGAGGGCATCGGATCCCCTGGGACTGCAATTATAGATGGCTGTGAGCCACATGTGGGTGCTGGGACTCAAACCCTGGTCCTCCGGAAGGGCAGCTGGCACTCTTAAACATCGAGCCATCTCTCCAGTCCCCTGGTAATCCTAGATTTTTTTTTCAGTTGACTACACTAATTACAAGGTCCATACATTAAAAAAAAAAACAATTACATTACAATTAATATGCAAGGACCTGTCAAGTGAGACTAATAAGAAAATTCCATAACAATACCTAAAAGTACAGATTACTTAGAACAAATAGTTAACTTAAGAGATACAAGGGCCATTGTGACCACTTCACTGAGATCCCAGTACTCAGGAGGCTGAGGCAGGAGGGTTGCAGCCAGTTTGAGGCCGGTCTGAACTTTATGGTGAGTTCTGGGCCAGCCTGAGTGGCTATGGAATAAGACCCTCCTTTTTTGGGGGGGAAGGAGTACAAAATGTGTAGTCTGAAAATAAACATTGCTGAAGCCATCAGAGAGCACTCTCCTAGCACTGCAAACCAACACCCCCGTGAGGACTCAGGAAAGCGTTAATGCGCATGCCTTTGTCAACTTACGCTTTGCTCAAAACGAAAAGCGAAACAGAAGTAAAAAGCATGGTCATCCAATATGCTTGCTTTACTTGAAATAATTTTTTTCTTCCATTTTGGGTCCCAACGAAGGTTTTAAATGACCGGGGAAGGTGGGTACTGTGGAGCCATGCCCCCTTCCATTAGAACAAGAGTCACAAGTTGGCTTGTCATACTCTACTTTGTCAGCAAAGGTCTTGTTTTTTAAGATTTTCCTGTAATTTTACCTAATTTGTAATTCCTTTTCAAATTAGTCATTACCCCAGTTGGAGAACTTGGCATCGAACGGAGTCCAGAGTCCCCCCATTTGCCAATGTCACCTCTCTGCCCACCTTTGTGCTTGTTTGTTTTTTAATCCACGTGTCCAAGAGGGTGACATGGCGCCACAAATTCTCCATCGAGCACGGCTTCTTTGAAGAGAACTGTTTCTGTCACAGTTTGCTGAATGCATCATGTAAGGACTACAGTCCAGTAGATTTTTGCTGGTTCGTTTTAGGAGGAATGGAATTGAAATGTTCTGGCTTACAGGGCCCCAGGGGCACACAGATTGGCCTTGGCAAGGGGTCCTGGGACACTCCACTTCCTCAGCCGTGAAATGGGGGTGAGGTGCATTTCTTGACTGATGGGAGAGTCTGGAGGCAGCCACAGCTGCAGTAACCCAATGCGTATCTGAACACAGCAAACACTGTGTAAGGCTTCGGACATAATTGTGCAATTGTATATACTGTGTTTATGCAACGCATAGCAGTTCTTGTTCAGCACAAGCCCCACCCACCCCTACCCATGACAGCCGTTATCTTGGTTGTCACTCGTTGAGGACTTGAGGACTCACTGCAGGTTAGTTATTCTTAAAATCTCTTTTCTTGTGGCTATCTTGTTTCATCTTCCCAACAAATGTGTGTGTGCATGCATGTGTGTGTGTGTTCCTATGGGTGTGGGTGTGCACCTGTGTGTGTGTGCATGTGTGTGTTCCTATGGGTGTGCACCTGTGTGCGTGTGCATGTGTGTGTTCCTATGGGTGTGCACCTGTGTGTATGCATGTGTGTGTTCCTATGGGCGTGGGTGTGCACCTGTGTGTGTGCATGCATGTGTGTGTGTGTTCCTATGGGCGTGGATGTGCACCTGTGTGTGTGCATGCATGTGTGTGTGTGTTCCTATGGGTGTGGGTGTGCACCTGTGTGTGTTCTTATGGGTGTGCACTTGTGTGTGGCAGCCAGAGGTTGATGTTAGGCATCTTCCTCAGTCACTCATCACGTTATTTTTTGAGACAGGATCTCTCACTGAACTTGGAGGTTACTGATTGATTCTGCTAGATTGATTGGTCAGTGAGCCCCTCCCACTACTTCTGCTTCCCCAACACTGGGGTTACAGGTTGTGGTAGTTTGAATGTAGTCAGCCCCCATGATCTCATAGGGAGTGGCACCGTTAGGAGGTGTGGCTTTGCTGGAGTGGGTGTGGCCTTGTTGGAGGAAGTGTGTGACTGTGGGGGCGGGCTTTGAGGTTGCCTCTGCTCAGGCAACTTCCTATTGCCTGAAAGATGTAGGACTCAGCTCCTCCAGCACCACATCTGACTGCACGCCACCATGCTCCCTATCATGATGATAATGGACTGAACCTCTGAAATGGTAAGCAAGCCCCAATTAAAGGTGTTTTTTGTTTTTTTTTTTTAAGAGTTGCTGTGGTCATGGTATCTCTTCACAGCAATAGAAAACCCTAACTAAGATGCTAGTGTACACAGATGGGCTTGGCTTTTTTTTTTTTTTAATATGGGGTGGTGGTGGTGGTGGTGGTGGTGGTGGTGGTGGTGGTGGTGGTGGTGTATGTGCTGGTGATGGAACCTGAGGCCTTATGCATGCTTGGCAAGCATGTTACCATCTTGTTACACCTTCTGCTCTTGCTGTTTTTTTTTTTTCTTCCCAGTGTGTATTCTGGGGCTTCAGCTCACTTCCTCACGCCTGTGCAGCAAGCACTTGGCAGCTGAGCCATCTCCCTAAGCCTCAGGACACTTGTGCAGCATCGCTTGTAGCATTCAGAGGCCCAGAGAGAACAGGTAGTTCGTCAGGGTCGCACAGCTGGAAACTGGCAGACGTGGACTCCAGTCTATGTGACTTGAAGGCCATCTGCACCAGCTTGGGGTAGGGGAGGGACTAATTTTGCGCTGTGCTCCCTGGGACGTGTGGGACATGTGGATAAGGCATTGGCTGCAGCCATAGAACTGCCTCTAAATACCTGGTCCCCAACTGCAGCCACATTCAAAAGGCCTGGGAGATGAGCCATTTGGGTGGCTGTGGGCCAGGACAGCAGAAGCTTCGGTCAACTCTGTTGAAGCCCAGGGACTTTAGGCTGGACCCAAGAGCCTGGCAGGCTCTGCAGCAGGAGGAAGGAAATGTCTGGAGGCACTAGAAAGGCTCTTGGCTCTCACTGGCAGGGGGCAAAGCCTTCTGCAGGTAAGGGGAGAAGTTCCCCAGCATGGGATGAGGAAGAGGGGGTCACACTATGCCTTTGCACTGGGGTGCTTGCAAGCTGCCAGGCTGCCTCCTTTGGGTGTGTTTGGGGGGCTGAGTCTCCACGAGCATCATGGTAACGTTCTCTCCAGACTCTGGAGAGAGGTCATGCAGGGAGGATGGGAATCTTGGATTTCTTTCATTTTTAAATACTGAAACTATGTGGGGTTGAGGGGCCTGGCCCAAACCCCCATAGTCCGAGGCCTGCTTAACGAATTAGTTTTCTAGCCACACAGCCTTGGATTCCAGCCCTCTGACATCTGTGTAGTTTCCCTGGTCACTTACAGCCGCCCAGGGGTCTGTGCCGGCTGTCAGTCCTTCTGCTTAGCATACACACTGGGCCATTCCTCCTAGCCATCAGTGTGGACTTTAGGCCTAGCTCCCTCTATAATGCAGGTGCCCCCATTGAATCTCACTCCTGCTCTCTCTAAGCCACGATCATTTCTCCCAGCAGCCTCTGGCTCTGTCTCGCTCCCCAGCTCCATGTCAGCCTGCCCTGTTCCTGCTCCAGCCACTCAGGGGTCCTTCTTTAAGTCTACCTCTCGTCCCCTCCTGCCTACTTGGAATTACCTGCCCTCACGGGAGCTCAAAGGTCTTCAGTTGTGCCCTGACCTGTGTTATAGCCTTGCAAACACTTGATAAAGGACAGGGTTACCCAATGGCCTATGGTTGTGACACTCTGTAGCTGACTCACCCTGTAGCCAAATGAATGTCCTACTTAGGGGGCTGTGTTTGCTTCTGAACCCCAGCAGGGCAGTAGTTCTGGGAAATGACCTGTTCACAACTGTCTGGAGATGGGAATTTTGAGATGATGCCTTGGCTGGCTTCTGGTTCCAACAATGCCTGGGGTGATGGGTGGAGAGACTGGCCAGCTCCCCACTCTTTTCCTTCCCAACCCCAGGAAAGAGGACCTGGGCCAGGGGAGTCTGTGTATTCAGTGCTGGATGTGGGCTCTGTGTCTGGTCTGTGTTGACTTCATTATAGCTGAGCTCTGCCAGCTGATGAGGTCACAGCAAGGTCATGCCCAAGGTCAGATGTCTGTGGGGAGGAAGCTCTTGTGCATGCACACGTAGCTTCACTCTGACTTCAGAGCCTTGGCCTGGCCTCCCCCTGCTGGCTTGGTATAGCCATGGTGGGCCTGTGAGATTGGTCATTGGAGAGTTACACAGACCTCCACTGCCCTTGAAATGACATTGGCTCTATCTGGGGAATCGAGACTTTTCTCTGATCCAGATTAAAGCAAGACAAGACAGTGGCACAAGGGAGTTGGACCTGAGAGGAAGGTATGGGGGACAGCCCTGGAAGTGGCCTTCATACTCTTGTCAGCTTCTTGACCATCAGGGCCTGGCCAGGCTTTAGGGTCTGGCAAAGTCTATCCATTGGAATGTGGACTAGGTCTGGAATCCCCTTGATGCTGGTGTAGAACAGTCTCTAGGTCAAGGGAAGGACTTGGTAAAATTTGCAAGTGCCCAGAAACCAGTGTGTGGGCACCAGAAGCAGGATAGCTTGGACCTAGCTTCGATTTCTTTTGGCTGCCATGGACTTGAAAATTGAATCAGACAGGGCAAACACCGGGGTGCATTTGACTACAATGAAAAGAATCTGAAATGTCCTTTGGAATGTTCTAGCAAAACCAGAATGTAGGCATGTCAAGCACACCTCTGGACAGAGTCCCTACCACCTGGATTTCTAGCTGTCACTCACTCCTGGTGCCCTGGCCAAGTACCTCCCATTATAACACAGTGACTAGCAGGGGCTGCTGGTGCCAATGGATAATTATGAAAACATGATTTTACCTTCTCTATCCTTCTGAGACCGAGCAGGGAAGCTAATGGAAACATCCCCAAGGAGGTGGAGTGGGGCTGCTTGAGAGGCACACATCAGGGGCAGGAGGCCCCAGCTTGCATCCGGGCTGGAGCCAGGAGCCCCATGCTTTCTTACAGCTTCAAAGCCCCCCCCCCCCCCAATTCCTATACTCCATACTCTCAACACCTGACTGCAGGGCTGGGGAGCTGAATCAGTCAGTAAAGTGCTGGCCACGTAGCCTTAGGGACCTGAGTTCAATCCCCAGCACCCATGTTAAGAGCCGGGGTGAGCCGGGCATGGTGGTGCAGGCCTTTAATCCCAGCATTCAGGGAGGCAGAGGCAGTTGGAGCTCTGTGAGTTTGAGGGCAACCTGGTCTACAAAGTGAATTCCAGGACAGCTAGTACTGTTACATAGAGAAACTGTCTCAAACCCCACACCCCCTCCAAAAAAAAAAAAAAAAGAAAAGAAAAGAAAAAAGAAGAGTCAGGGGTGGTGATGCCAGTTTATAGTCCCAGTGCTGAGGCAGGGGGTGGGGAGCCTTGGTCAGTGACTATAGTCAAATAGGTGAGTCTCAGGTCCCAGTGTGGCATCCTGTCTGAAAATATAAGGTGGAGGTCTCCTAAGAAATGACACCTGAGCTTGACTCTGGCCTCCACATGCACACACATGTGCACACACACACCCATGCACACATTGCACACACATGTGCACACACAACCCATGCACACATGACACACATGTGCACACACATACCTATGCACGAATGCACACACACCTGACTACTTCCCTCCCTTTGAAGCAAGAGCTGATTTGTTTCCTACTTCACCATGGAAATTGATGCCATCAGAGTAGATGTCCCTCAGCCTGTGCTCTTGGTGACACTCTAGCTGGCCGTACCGTTGTTCCCCATACATTGTAGTCTACCTCCATGTGCCTCACCTGGCACCTGCATGCCCGTCCAGTAACTCTGGTCTCGGTCTCCTGCTCTGCTTTGAATAAAGGAAGAAGGCAGAAGTGACAGGACAGAGTTCCAGGAAGAGGCTCAGAGTCACCGTGAGGTTCCACTCTGCTACTGTAGCCCCTCCCCCCAACATTGAGAAGAGCTGGGATCAGGGACAGAGGGCTAGACCCCAAAACAGCCCTGTGGAGCCAAGCCACAGCTCCTTCACTGAGAAGTTCCCAGCTTTTGTTACACTGATCATCTCACAAAAGGGCTAACAGAGACAGACACACCCTTCCCTGTGCCAGAGCTCCGACAGTGGCCTCCCCTGATGGCTGCCATCTCACCTTCCCATGCCCTCAGGAACCTTGATGTCTCTTCTGTCCCACACTTTCCTAATGACAGCTTTCTTGTCATGTTAAACATGGAAGTCCCTTGGTTCCACTAAAGATGTGGTCAGTAGGAAAGTGAGTTGGATGCATCCTAATGATGAGAAGTTAGATGACCTTCCAGAATGTGAACAGAGGTCACAGAGCAGACAGCCCTTCTCCACTTTACAAAAAGATGGATGCCTTAAAGCCCTGGGTCACCTCCCCCACTCAGGAGGAAGCAAGGGGTACACAGGTGTGCAGGGCACACTAACTAACATTATCAGACAGGTGAGTGTTGGGCAGGTGTTGCCATGATAATCAGTTGCTACGAACTCCTTGGAGACTGGGCTCATGGAGTTCATACTCATGCTCACTTCTTCCTAACCATGCTGGGCGCTCATAAGAAACTCCAGTGAGAGAGTAGAGGACAGGTGAGGACCTTTGCAGGGGTGTCCTGGGGAGGGGAAGCCTCCATGATGGAAAAGCACAAGGCCCTGCTAAGATGTTCTCTCATCAGGAACAAAAGCTCGGGGGAAGGGTCGCTGGCCTTGTAAACCCATCATGGCCTGGAGAAGAAAATTGGCAAAGAACATTCTGCACAGAGCAGAGCCGTCATGGACCCAGATTGTTAGAGGGGCCCGGCTTTTACCTTCTGAGCCACCTCCCTCGTTCATGGCTTTCAGTTGAAGACAATTCTCTGTGGAGAGACAAGAAAAGTCACAGATCCAGGCTCCCCAGATGTTGGCATTATCAGAGAAGGAATTTAAAAGGAGTCCTATGTTAAAGCTTGATTAGAAATAGTGAGAGGCATTCACTAGCCACAGGGCAAACGGAAATGCCAGAAGAAAGCTCAAGTCTTAGTGGGACATGAGGATTGCCTTCAGAATCAGTGTGTTGAGAACAGATCCGCTGAAATCCCCAAGGCCAGGGCCACAGCGAATGGAACAGAGCATCTGGGAGCCAAGGGATGATATTAAAGTCTAACATTAGAGACACTGGGATC